ATATATATATATATATATATTGCAATTTTAATATAGTTCAAAATGTTTAATCTATTTATTTTTGTTATTTTTGTATTATTTATTTAAGCTGTTATTCACTGATAATCTCCAATAATCATTTAAGGAACAAATTAGTCAATTTATTATATAATACAAAATAATTTTACACACTATCTGCACTGTCTCATGAACAATGTATAGAACAAAGGAAAAAGACTATGATGCACAGCAATGCATCTCTCTCTCCCTTTCCATAAACTGTGCTCTCTTCCTTGATCTGATTTATAGGCCTAATCGCCTATGGCATGATGGACCAGCTTGAATTAATATGCATTTGCTTATGGCTTCCTGTGATAAATTAATACTAGGGGAGACAATAGAGGTCACAGGGGAGTCTCTGTGTTTAGGCACAGTCACTACTGCCTCTGTTTGCTGCTCTGAGCATTTCGTAATCCCTCACTATGATGAAAAGGAAAATCTCACGCAGGGATTTACAGGCTGTGTTTACAATGTGATTATACTGACTGCTGTCAGGGTGGGTTCTCTTGTGGTCTTAATAAAGTAATAGGAATGCCTGATGTGTTTTTTCCCCTATGACTATTCGCATACGGCTTTAAGGGTATTTGTTTTCTCCAGATGGTGAACTTGACAAAGGATTTGTTTTGGAAGACTGGAACCGCAGTGTTTTCATTGTTAATGATATAATAAATCAGAGTTTTCACTTGCCTTATCTTAGCTTTGTCTAATCAAATAAAATGGCCCTGAGATTCTCTTACCGAGCCATTACGGTGCAGCTCTTTTGTCGTGGTCGCATACTTCCTCATTAGAGCAGAGCTGCTTGTTTTGCAGGTTCGCAGGTCGTATCATTGGCCAGCCTATGACAAGGGTCCTGTCCTGGGAGGGGATCTTTAATGACGGAATGCCCCTTTGGATAATCGGAGCAACGACGAGAAACCAACCATGCATCACCTGAGTTCCTGCCCTGGAGGGAACAGATAATACTTAATCTAGCCAACCTCATTACAGCTGTCCATGTTTTACTGGCTCCACCGATATAGCTGAATTTTCTATCGCTTGCCTTACTTATGATGAAAAAGTGTCCACCTAATATTTTTTTTTCCCCTCCCCAAACACAGGAGTATGTGTGGAGGTTATTAACTGCTTTAATTCCTAATGATGCCTGACAGGTGCTCTTCTTGGGGAGATTAAGGACTGGGAGGGTTAATGATGGGATTGGCAAGATTGTCATAACTCACAATAGGACCATTAAAGTGATATTACGAAAAGGACTGCTGCTGATATGTGTTTAACTCTGGCAAGGTGGCACGAGGCAATCTATCAAATTTTTTTTTTCTTTATGTGATTTTCTTGCCTGCAGGGCCCAGTTTTAGATGTGTGAGGAATGTCAAATAACGCTGGCCATGAAGAACGGAAGGGGAATTGGTAGAAATGAGGATGAGAGAAGGTACAGGAAAGAAGGATAGAGGTAGAGAGAGTTGTGAAAGATGTGTGCAGGGCAAATGTGTGAATAATAAAAAATAATAATCATTTGACAATATAATAACAATAATAGTAATAATAGTAGTAATATGTGATTTATTATTATTACTATTATTTTATTTTATCAGAAATAAAAGGTTGTTCCAGCACTCTGGTTTAAGAAAGCTGTAGGACACAAAATGATCTTCAAAAACCTTTGCTGTGGGGATTTTATATGTCTTTGTTTTGATTTTCTACGGAAAACTGGACAAAGACATTTCGTTCCACTAAGGGACCATCAATCATCTCCAAGTATCTAAGATACCACAATGGTGAACCAGTGAAGCCATGAATGCTGAGAGCCTTTGTACTGCAATACTGCCCTCTACTGCCAGGAATATTTGCTTCAGTACAAAAGAACAAAGGAAACCACACAGAAAAGGACACAAAGGAAAGTAAGGAATATGTACAACACCTTGATAGGTAGTGATCAAAGTCATCCTTAAAGACAGCATTGGCCATATTTTCTGTCCTCCTTTCTCCTTGACCCACCTTCTCTGTGGATACTCTTTTAAACAATTTTTTGAATCCATAAAAATCTATTCAATTATGTATTGTATTTTTGAATTGGTATCATAAGTACATTTCAAATGATTGCCGTTCATAAGCAAGTAAATTGTCCAGTATGTGTGAGGGAGATTTTGTACCATATACAATTCGTATGAAAACAACAGTTGAAACCACTAGTCATATGACACACAAACCACATTAAAAGCCACTCTAACCAACTATTTTATATCCAAACCACACCCATCTCACCTGTGCACACCTCTTCCCACTTTCTTTCCCTCTCATTCTCTCTTATTTTCCCTCTCTGTCTATTCCTCACTCAACTGTGTTTTCATCTATTACTACACTTTGGATCAAACCAGGTGAGTTGGCTTTACAGAAGCAAAAACAAAATTTGATTTGAATGGATTTAAGTGGAAAGGAATCAACATGTACTGTATTGGGAATTGTGTGTACTGTGTATGTAATGCTAATTAAAATATCAAATGCAGCTCTGATTTATGTTTATTGCTTCATTACAGATTAAAAATGGGCTGCTTCACATTTGTTAAAGTTGTGATGGTTGTGTTCAACTTGCTTATCTGTGTAAGTATGCTTTTTTCATCATTAAATGTATACATTTGAGTGCAGGGAGAGGGGTGTTTAGAAGAATAATTGCATTTCTTTATTTATTGACTGAGACTTTTATGTGGGGTGTAAAGAATGAAATAGATTCAGCCTGCCTCTGAATGAGCAACAAATAATTTATCCTCTCCTCTTTACAACGAACGCACACAGTACACACATAAATTGAACTAATGCAAATGGATAACATGAATCCATTAGAAAATGCTTCATTGCTTCACGGTGAAGTCTTGATAATCGCAGTCAAAGTGTGAATGTGAGTAAGTCAGTCACACTTGCTCACATGCAACAATTTTCATCTCATTATTGTTCACAGCCACTTTGTTTGTTTGAGTGCTAAAGCCTGCAAGTGCCTGAAATGATGGGTATGCTGGGTTGCATTGTGGGACAGGAGATTTTTAAGGCTGTCGATACAGGAACAAAGGAGAGCGTACATAAAAGTGTACAATATTTCATTCAAAGCATTGCTAGAGCAGTATACTATTCATTTCTATTTGGTGAACGGTTTCTATTTATCTGATCTACAACTGACTTATCAGTATTAATACTTGTCAAGGTCGGTAGAGGACAAAACTGGTATTACATAGGTTATACCGAATACAAGGTCAAGGTTTTCTGTGAAGATTTCATTCAAAGAAAAACCGAGAAATTTATAACCAAGTGCTTTTTGTCAAAATCTCAACATAAAACAATCAGTCTGTCATTCAGTCTTAAGTCTGACATAATGATTCGAGAGCAATGGTTGGTCAACAAAAGATAAACTAATTAGATTTTTTATGTTTACGTCTTCTTCAAGTATTAGAAACTTGCTTTGTTTAACTATATGTCTGATTATGGAGCATATTTAAACCAAGGACGATAACTATAATGTTAATAGACTAAAGGTCGGAATGCACTGCACAACACTTACCCAGATTTTGCACTGATTTACAGTCTGTTGAGTCAACACTGGCTATTGAAAATCAGAGCCAGTCTAGAGATTTGAGTTGTATCAGGTAGTGTATGTTGGGCACAGGCTCCAATTTTTTAGCTTCTGGCTATGACTCCATCATTGCTGAGGATATCAAACATGTTTAATATTTTGAGCCTATTTTAGAACACATTTTGACTTCATTTCTAATGCTTCTCCTTTCTTGTGTTCAGTACGACCTGAAAGTCTAGTAGTGTGTGATACTCAGTTATTTAATGTATGATCCCTAGTTTTTTCTCTGTAATAATTTACAAAGTCAGCAAGAGTACGATGCCTAGTGTTCAGATTTTAAAAGTCACGCAATGTATTCCAGTCTTAATATAAAATCAGAATCACCATACTTTAAAGAGCGTGAGAATTTGATGCGACAATATAACTGCTGCAATGTCATGCGTTAGTGTGGACGCTAAAATAGTTATTGTTATAGTTATCTTTATAGTTCTAGTTCTTGGTGTGAATGAGCCTTTATTATCAAAAATTGGCAAATGCAGGTGTTCAAGTATTAATGGTGAATGTTTTGCAATAGCATATGTCTGTTTTTTGCGGTAAATACATTTACATTTGGCTATGATATCAATTATAACGCATAAACAAACCAAGTGCAAATACCTCCCTAAATATTACACAAATAGTTTTCAATGTAACTGGATTGGATTCCTATTGTAGGGTTAAATATTTGGGTGTCAGCCAAGACTGTGAGCCAAGAAGCTCCAACAAAGCAACAGATCACACGGAGTTGAAAAACTCCCATCTTTGTGAATAGTAAATTGAGGCTGCACATTTATGTGTTCATTTTATTTTACACATCTCTGTTTACATTTAGCAAGACGGCCCTCTACATGCTTTTTTCTGTTTAGATCCCCCTGCACAGCAGCCTCCATAATTCCCTGTGTAATACCATGGAAATCCAAATAATTTTCCTCCCCTCTCCAAGTCTAATCGGTTTCATTCCACATACAGTGTGCCTTAGTTTACCCTTACACATAATCTGATTTCCATGTAATCTCTCTAGAAGCATCTTTCTTTGGCACGCCATTTCCAACATTATGCCATGCATGGTGGCATTTCATCAAAGCATTATTTGCTTTAAAAAAGCAGTAATAATTATGACAGGAAGGGAGGAATTTTTGAAGAAAAGAAGTTGAAGGTAATATGCCCGTCACATTCTATTTGCTTAGAGACATGTCCATTATCAAAAGCTGACAGTTAAACTGCTAAAACATTCAGACAATTCCCGAAGCTCCATGAGCGCAAGCGGGAAATGATAAAATTAAAATTATTCCCTCGTGGAAAAAATAAACGTTGACGGGAAGGAGTATTGAGAGTTTCATGTTCAGCTGTCAGCCAGCTGAGCTGGATGTGAGTCGCCCTGACAAGCGTGATTGTGTCTGACAGAACATATCAGGTTTCAAAGATGGTTATGGCACCAACTGTGAATTAACATGCTGACACCAACCCATTCATTAACCCAAACCACCACCAAATGTGTTCTGGGGCTTAGACCTTTTGATATCTGACTGGATGCATATCATTCTGCTCGGAGACATGAAATAGCATGAAATAGGCAGACCCTTTGAATAAACCTCTTCTACATCCCACAGTTAAATAAGCCAACCGTGCTGTTGCACTTGGATCTTGATACATCAGAAGACACATAATGACTACAACATTGTGTGTCCATCATTACCCCAGGAAACCCATGCCATGGTTATGTGTCAGACCTATTGTCAGCGAAGAGTCCTGGAAGTGACATAAATGAGCAGTCGAGCACCTAATCCTGCAGGCTTGTGGCCATTAAGGGCACCCTTTAGTTTTCTATTGAGCCATTGCCATTGTTGAATGACCTACCTCTATGGAAGAACACACATAACTCAGGTATACTCTGGCAATAATGGGAAATCCATGCAGGGCCTCTTATCGTACAGCGTAATGGTGAGAATAAAAGGTCATGGGAAAATGCCTAAGATAATGGAGCCAAATACACATGACTACAACTGATACACGCCTGTGGTCATAATGCTTTTATATGAACTGGAGCTTATAGCAAAGTAACTTGAGCATGAGGTATGATGATGTTTCATGAACTAAAATATGAGTGCTAATCTGTGTTTAGCACTATGCCACACAGTATCAGACTACAGTTTGTTTTGGGAGGTACAAAAGACTATAGCCTAATTTACAGTAGCTAGTCACATTACTGACATGGATACAGTTGATATGCAAACATTTCTCCTAAGACATGTTCTTAATTCATTACTGAGATGATGTTGAAGACTACAGGAATACTGTGATTGACAACAGCAAGAATTCACTTACCCAGAACATTTACTTTTTACTATGTGTCCTTTTCGCAGATCTCTCGCTGTTTAATTCAAACGCATCGGACGCCATCTTTGTGTGCGTTGTAGTCACATCTACCATTGTTTGTCGAATGTTTTGAGCAAAACATAATAGTCATTTTCATACTACGCGTAATTTGCGCGATCGGGAATTTTAGATTTATAATTTAGTCATGTGATTTGCCGCGTTTACCATCAGAAAGCAGCTTGGTTGAGACGTCTTTGTGAGCTGTCACATTACACTGCACATTAAAGAAATAATGAAAATGGAAAAGAAAGAAAAATAGTAAAAGTATAAAGTATAGCTAAAACTATAACATATTGTAATCATTTTAAATAACTATAACATTTTATTTTTTAAATATGCACACAATTACTCTTAAACATAGGGCTACTATGCCTAATATGCAAAAAAAAAAAAAAAAGGGCTAGTTCAGTTTTTTTTTTTGGTCATAGAATTGTCTGACCTCATTACATCAGTGGGCTATTAATGTGCCACTGAGTTAGTGTTTTGTTTGGCAACCTGCTAAACATTACTGAGGAACTACTGTACATTGCTTCGCGGAAGGATAATTTGTTATCATGAAATGATACAATTGTTGTATCATTTGTGTTTAATTTATGAAACCTTGCCAGCTATGGTCACAAGCATTCAGCATGTGCCTAACAATGCACCTAAAGTTGCTGTAGGCTAAACCATGGCTTTTTGGGGCTTGCTGCTTTATTTTGTGCAGTTAGTCTATTGAGGCAGATACCTTTTTCTCATGTCACAACATAGACAGTGGTGTGTAATGGATTGCAGCAGAGAAGCAACATGAATATCATTTATTGGGGGGAAATTTGGCCATGTCTGATTATTAGGGAGGATGACTTGCTCACCTCATTGTGGTGGTTACAGCTCTGATGACAGGGTGACTGTATACATTATCCTATTTGTATCTAGGCATTAGAATATCACTATTAAAATGCAATGGCATATTTGTGAAAGTAAAAAGTGGAAAATGTTTTTGACAGCTGGCGGGCATGTGTTTGGCGGCTGCAGGGATATGGGTGACAGTGGACGGAGATTCCTTTATGAAAGTTTTGCCACCCTTTACTGATCATTTCCAGACTCATGTCAATGTAGGAATCTTCAGCATCACTATTGGAGCAGTTATGACTCTGCTTGGACTGCTGGGGTGCTGTGGAGCTCAGAAAGAAAGCAAATGCCTTCTTATAATGGTAAATCTCATTCATCTTCTTACCAAATATCAAGTGAAATATGAATAATAATGTTTGGACGTTTAAGTTTTGTTAAAATGTTCACTCTCTTTGTCTTTCTCTGTGCTATCAGTTCTTCTCCATCATCCTGGTCATTTGCATTGCTGAGACAGCAGCCGCAATAGTAGCCCTGGTCTATTCCTCATACGTGAGTCTGGCTCTAAACCACTGACCTCTCTGCCAATCCTCCCCATCCCCCACACACTCTTTGTCTCTCTTTTCATTTTAGCTGCATGTAAATTCCCATCATACTCTGGCCATCATTAAATTAGGGGGTTTGAAATGGCTCCAGCACATTCAGCCTCTTAATAACTCCCAGATTGCCTCAGGCGCTATGCCAGCACTCTCACTTTGAGCAATCTATCGCACTACAATATTGACGTTTAGGCATTTTATATGCAAAACAGGCGATTTACATACAGAGCTTTCACCCATTTAGTGAAATGTATAATAATTACAACAACTTTCAATGAGTTATTGAGGGTATGTTAAGAGAATAATGCCAGTTAATTAAAAACACAAAGGCCTTTTAGGGCAAATTAAAAAATTTAATTCCATTTAACAGACAGCAATCTCATTTAATGCATATGAATAGATAATCCTATATTAGAAATGTAAGAATATATATACAGTACACACACACACACACACACACAATACCATAAACAAGTGGGATCTAAAATATCCGGAAAAATAGTCAAGCCGTAAATTAATATTAAAAATATATTTTTTAATTTAAATTACTTTAATAAGTACATTTAAAAATGTAAGTAATATTAAATACAAATAATCATGTATTATTTAAACAATATTTATTAATTTCTTGATGTTTAATATCCCTAATTATTTAAGCAAATTGACATTAACCATGTCAGTTCAAGGTCAGATATTCCTGCTTCCATTGTATCACAAGAAGCTCTTTAGAACATTTTGCTGGATAACATGATTATCAGGTTTTACACAATTAACTATACCATACAAAATACTAAGAAATTATAAGTGTAGTTCTGTTTCCCTCATTGTTATGCTATCATTTGTAATGAAAAAAGTATAAAGCCGAAATAGAAGCTCATACTTTTGAACCACACTGTCTATTTGTGGTGTTTGGTAATTGTGGTTCTACTCCATTGAGATTTAAAATGGTCTTCTAGGTATTTATGCAAGCGTAGAATCAGTTTGTTCATGAAACATCATAGCTATCTGGATGAAACGCAGTACTTCATCAACAAGCCAGAGCGGTTAATGCTACTGGAGAGTCACCAGAAAGGAAAAGTGCAGGACATTCCTGTGAATTATAGATCGACTAAATCGTTCAGAGGAACATTAAGCATGCAAATACCCATTTAATGTGCTGTTTGTCACCATCACACTTTTATCCATTCATTTATTTATTATCCTGACAGAAGAAATTGGTGTTTTAATAATTCATGTGCAAGTCTATGAGCAGCTGCCCTGTTGTAGTTTTGATAAGAAATAGGCTTCACAAAGTCATAACAATCACACAATATGAATTTGAATAGCATTACATGTTTACATTAATATGTAAAATTGTTACAGAATAAGCCAAATCGTTGTGGAGATTGTGTTTTTAATGTTCAATTGGTCACAGCTGTTTGCTGTGTGATCCAAAATGTAATCACTCCCATTTCAAGAACATTTCGATTCCATTGTGTTGATGTGGTGTCGTTTGGCAATAACATTTTCACTCTTTAAATTAAAGATAGTTATTATGATAAGTAAAAGGACATAGAATTTACATTCTTATGTTGTATTACTTTCAGCTGATGTTTGTAAATGGCATTCTGTGTCATACACACTGGTCTCAGATCAGCAATTAGCAATCGCTCCCTTGCCTTACAGTGCTTTGTCCTGTCTAGATTGTGAGGGAATTCCTCCAGACATTGATGGATTAGCTTGCGCATAATAACTCTACTGATCTGTGTAGCTTCCACTGCTTCATAGGTGGGAGGGGAAGCACTTTTAATTGTGTTTTGTCTGCACATCCCCACAGGCATGCTGTGCTGAAGACCACTCTTGCTGACCCCACCTTTCCCAGCAAACACACACACATGTGACAATTAGCAACAGTTCTTGTGTGCCTAAAACTCATCTGGGTTTATTAATCAAATTGCAAATAATAAGGAAGAAAGTAAGAAAAGAGAGAGAAAGATACGGAAAATGCAAGCATGCAACACAAAGGAGATTTGAATTTACAAAGCATATGCGGCCATATTGCATTCACATAAACTATTTTTCCATATATCATGCATTCAGTTCTAAACATACTACATAATAGGCATACTGTATGTGTAATTATGTAGCAATGTTCTTTATGCATTTGTGCAAATGTGCTCAGTAATATAGCACACGTGTGTGACTTGCTGACCACTCAACTGACAATATATCCATGATATTTCACTTTTTGAGCTTCGATAATCATTCAATTTCAAAATACAAAGACATAAAAATGACTTTGTTAAACGTACCAGAGTATGATTCATAAATAAATTACTGGTAAAGATGAAAGGCAGCCTTCTTCATAGTTTACTGATTTATCTAACGGGAATGATTGTTATTGAAAAAATTGTTAATGGAGTAAAATAAATAAATTAATTAATTAATTAATTTAAAAAATGGTAACACTTTAAAATTTGGTCCCATTTGTTAACAAGTGCTTTAACTAACATTACATGACATCGAGCAATACATTTATACAGTATTTATTCATCTTTATTAATGTAGTTTATAAAAATACATTGTTAGTTCATGTTAGCTAAAGTCTATTAAATAATAAATAAAATACAACTTTTGATTTTAATAATGCATTAGTAAACATTGAAATAACATCAACAAAGATTAATAAATTATTTAGAATTATTGTTCATTGTAACTAACTTAGTTACTAATGCTAACAAATAGAACCTTAGTGTAAAGTGTTAGCAAAAAATTTAATAAAATAATGTAAATGCAACTTTGTCAGCCCTAATATTCATACATTTAGAATATATATTTCAAATTAATTCAAATCTTTAATAATAAGTATCAATAAATGAGGAAATAACCTTACGATTATGATTAGTAAGAACTGCATTGCAGAGAAATGACTTTACTGCCTAGCCTTTGTTTCATTTAGCCATGATAAATGTCATTGCTAGTGGCCTTGTGGAGACACAATGGTGAAAGCAGTTTGCTTTAAAAAGTGTATGTTTGTGGAAGATTTTTATCTGCTAGTTTCCATTCCTTTCTAAAATTCATGTGTCCTTGTTTATCTTTATCTGTGATTTTGAAAGACTGAGATCATTCTAAAAACGTGGGCCACACCTGGACTGAAGGAGCAGTATGGGAAAGATAAAATCCTCACGGACTTGTGGAACTCAACCATGACAACAGTAAGCCACGGCCAACTGAATACATGCATACGTGAGTATTGATCTGTGCCTCAGGCTTTTCAGTAAGTCAAACAAAATTAATCCATCATGCCAAATTTCATGGCCAAAAGTGCCTTTAAAAGCAGTATAGGGTGGTTGACAGTAAATGTGAAAATGAACTTACTAAACAGACTGCCAAGAGTTTGACAGGCTAATGAAACCCCTTCAAGAGCTCTACAGATCAATACTCATACGTACTGCATATCAATGGAACATGATATGTTAGCTCTACAAAGCAATATTTGTGAAAATACTATATGCAACTGACTGTTCTTGCTTTTCATTGGGTAATAGTTGCAGTGCTGTGGCTTCAGTAACTACACAGACTTCTCTGAATCTTACTACTATGAGCAGAATGGGGCCCTTTACCCTCCTACCTGTTGTGCAGGTCTTCAGCTCTTCCCCTGTGACGACGACAATGCAGGTTTCAGTAATGTGGTGGTGAGAAACATACGGAACATTCACAGTTCTATCAAATAATTCAACTGCAAAAGCTAGCAAAAGTTTGGACATGTTTAAAGTTGCTATGTAGATGTAGTAGCTAGCAGGTTTTTGGCAAATACTCATTATATTCTAAGTTTCAGCTGGTTTGTGAAATGTCACATTTAATTGTGACTTGCTACTTGGTAACACATATGCTTTCTTCATGTAAAAAAAAAATTGTATGTTTTCTTGTGAGATCAGTTTGGTGTTTCTACATTGTTTCAAACTGGCTAGAATTCTAGTTTCCTGCTCGTAAACTTGACTGTAAATTCTGTGCTTGGAAATTGCAATTACAATATTTCAGACACCACTTTAGAGGCACATAAGTGCTGAATTTGGAACCGTGTACTAGCATACTACTCTTCCCAGTACTGTTATAGAAATATATGGTAGATATAGTAAGAGTAGTATGCGGTCCAAATTCGACCAAAACATGAAAATGATGTCTCGACAGCTCTGATTGGCTGAAGGCACCATAACCAACTACGATTAGTGTCCACTTACCATTTTTTTCAGCCTTACTAGGAGAATGATACCTCACCTAATTAATATTCATGAGCCATGCTGATTAGGTAGGCCTATATAAATATGACCCCCACCACTTTTCAGATCACTCCTACACCCTTGTGTATTACAGAGATGTGGTTATATAATTTGGGCCCTTTCATCTGACATTGGTTTCTCTTCCCAGGGCTGTTATAAACAAATTGTTAAGATTATCCAGAGGAACGTCAACATTGTGGGAGGAATAGCTGCTGGAGTCACTGCCATTGAGGTAAACACAACACATCCATCATGCTGTTCCAATAACAAATGTATCAGAAGAAGTGTACTGGGTTTACGCAGGCAGTTGAGCAACTCTCAGGATTTGACTGTAGACTTTATCATGATTGGTTAAAGCTAGTTTGGTATACAGAACAATTTACCACTTTGCATGTCCAGCACAAGCTTTAGCAATGGTTGCCATTATCTTCATTGCTTCCAAATGCATTTAAATGTATACTTATGCCTATTAGACATTTCAATCTTATGACACAGACAAATTATTTGCCACCACCTATAAATGACCATGTGTTTTGTTTTCTAGGTGGCAGCGATGGGGGTGTCTATGTACCTCTATTGCTACCTGGACAAAAAAGCCACCTGAAAGTCTCATCTTACTAGTTTATTATTATGTATATGCATCTTTTCTTTATGCAATAGGATTTGTTACTTTAACTGTAGATAATACTATAGATATTATGCCATTATTTATTGTAGGATTACAGTTGTATCACGTTAACGAGGTGAAGTGGATAATGAAATTGTTGGTTATTTGATTTTGAAATAGGAAGTTACGTAAACATAATCATTTTCTGTTGAGTTTGTAATGTAATGCAACTCATGAAATAAAATGTTGCTGTATCCCCTTCTACATGAGAAAGTAATTTTATAACCAGAGATCAAGTTCATTTGCATAGAGAAACAATAATGTTTTTGCACTGAAACGCTTCATGTCACACAAGCTGTTCTTATACATGAAAAATGAGTTTAGGGAGAGATAGGTAAGTGCTTGTGGAGAATGTTATAAATAATGTATTTTTTTCACCACATAAAACTATCCCTAACCCACTAAAAATATATTTAAGTAGGAGATTGACTGAGGATGATCATTTGTTCTGTTGGTACAGTTGATACTAAATAAAATGTAACATGAAATCATGAGTCAGTCCAGTTCCTCTAAAAATCCTTTGTAATGATATAATGCAAACAAGCAAAGTATGACCTTCTACCCCACTGACAGTACACAGTAGTACAGATCATAATGAATAATATGATAAAAGATTTATATGACAATTACACAGAAAACAGGATAGAGTTTTTGACTTTCACTCGAAGATTCACAGACACTACATCTCATTCTACAAAAACTACTCTGACGGTCTGCATGATGATGCAATTACCCCTACAATATCGGCACACACAGGAGAATCATTTACGCAAGGGATCAGCCACACTAAATTTGCATTGATTTCAATAGTCACACCATTTCCTTTGTGGCTGCTTCGATTTTCCACATAATTTGCCTGCTGTGCCGTCTGCTTATCGAACAGGAAATAATAATAAAAAAAATAATGAAAAATATATAATCTCCAAAAATGCATAAATACAATTCTAAGTATAACCATTCAACGTTTAAAAAAAGTGAACACAACAAGAATACATTGTTTACATGTTTGGAAAGCAATTGTAAAAAGTTGAGCTTATATGGGGCCTTAAAAGTAGAACCATTGCTTTAAAGCCATTTTAAGAAAACATTACATCTATAATTATTAGATATCATTCCAATAGAATTCTAAATAAATTTATTTATTCATTAATTTAAAAAAGAACGTACTGTGCAGCATACTGAAAACATAACTGTCTGATTGCAACCATATAATACATATTTAAAAAAAAAAAAAAATGGACAGAGGGAAAACAAAGTAAGAAAACAGTTTTATTTTATATAAGAAAACCAATCATTTTTAACTACTTGGATATACAAAACTGTTGAAGACTCCGGTTAACATATCAGACACAATCTCTGGAAACTTGAGTACAAAATAATGTTGAGATGAGAAACATTTCTATTATGGTATTGCACATGTTCCAAATACTATGAAAATGTTTAGTGGCACCACAAATAAAATGTCTGTAGCAATATCAGTACCGATCAGTGAAACCCTGAAACCCACAACAATCTATTCTGAAATCTCCTCCATGAAATGATTTGGACATTATTGCATGGGAAATAAATTTTTCACCAGTATCTTCACACACAGTAACTCACGTTAACACAGGGCATATCTACGATTCAGCTGAGATTGCATTGAATTCAAGTGTTAATCCTCCATTCTACTCTTATAAGGCTCTTTAGTGGCTGTGTGAACACATAGATCTCACCTAAGCAGCATCGCCTGTCGTTCTCTGGGAAAGAAGATTCTTAAAGCTGTTGCTGGAGGGCCATCATAGCACAACATAAAAAAAAAAATCAATCACATGTCATGTGTTTAAAACTGGACTGTGCCGTCCAATATAGGTCATTATATGTAGTTAAGGTATACTGCCTGTGCTACTAAAGAACCAATAAAAATACAATATTTTGTTCTAAAAATATATGTCTGTACATAGTTTAATTTGTAAACAAATTTAAGCCTTTTGTTTCTTAATGCATTTTTTCTTGTGTAAAAGTGAATCCATTAACTAAAAATAAACCTAGTTATTTTAATATTGACAAAATAAATAAGACATAAATTAAAACGCATGTGCAGGACGGCCCAAAGCACTCAGTAGTGTTAAAAAAGTATCTTATGTCTGTCATATCCTCTTAATCCCTTTTTTGCAGTGCCCTGGTTTGACGTTATCTGCTGTCACAATTCAGTAACTCAAACCAGCACTGGCTTTTATTATAGTACCAGTAATACTTTAAAACATCTATCAATTATTTTCTAATGTCAAACCATCCAGCATAAACACATATGAAATTTCATGACCTCAGGAAAAGCTCCCACTGTAAAATACATACCAACAAAACGAGAAGGTCACACCATTTTTAGAAATCCACACTCATATCATTCTTGTTTAAAAAAGCCTGCAGTTCCTAGAGGCTACCAGCATAGGATGGTTCAGTCAGGATCATCCTACAGTTCATCCCCTTTGTCTTGCAACGACCTGAAGAGTAACACAAGGCCCATTATCAGCCTGACATAGGCCTTGTCTGTTAGTGGTTAGGAAAGGCCCTTTGGGTGGGATTAGGACTGTTCTAAATCTGTTCCACAGGAGGTCCCTCCTCTTTAGGTGCTGGCTCCAAGTGAATGGGAGTGACGTTATTGGGCTTCTTAACACTGGAGGGAAAAAAAAGATGCCGTGAAGGTCATGGACAAAATGTCACATAAAAAAATAAAATAAAAAGGTAAAAAAAAAAAAATTTTATGGAATAAAACTAAATAGTTATATATATATATTTGAGATTATAGACAAAAAAATAATGCCTTACAAACAACAGGTAAGCTCAAAAACAAAAAGTCGTATAACAGGCCCCAAACTAAATCCAACTGAGAATCTGTGATCATGTTTGGGGCATACAACTTTAATCTGACTAACCTGAACAACATAATATATACTTACGAGTATGGTGAGATTGGAACAGCCACTACTAGTACATGGTTCTTCTTTCTGAAGAGCCTCCAGAGTCCTTTGTGATAACCTCGTACATCCAGGTCCCATACGTGCAGGCACTGTGAGCAGTAAACAAGATAAGGCTATAACCTAATACTACAGTTTTAATATCCTCACCTCAGATTTTCTTTCTTTTTTCTATATATTTCCTCTCTCAGTGTTTATAAGCCATTTATCTACCCTTGCAGGCTCTTCGAAAAATAGCCAGACATTTGCACCTTTAGTTCACATAAAAACAGGCAATAAAACTCACCACTTTGCTAAGATTCATTGTAACAAAACATGCAGGGTAACTACTGGCTAACCTGCTCTGAAATGCAGCCATTTATGTGAGATACCCAACTGAAATCTCATATAGATTCAAACTGCGGATCTTCAAAAATTCAACATACCTTCGCCAGTTCTGTCCAGGTGTTTGTATCCGTCTCTTGCTCCATTTTGATGAACATTACAAAGGTCTTTCCCTCTGTGTCTGGGATAAATGAGTCTTCACATGGGTTTTTACTGTGGTCCAGAACCTTGGCCCCACTGCAGACACACAAATGATTACTGCAGTTGTTGTAATAATAATGAACTTAATTTAAGGTGTTACATTAATTATGCAACAGAGGAGTATGATCTTCAGATAAAATTACCGTAGTAGGTTTTGGATTTCAATCTCATATGCATCTTTCTTCAAGCTGTAAACAGAGAGAGAATATCAAAGACGTCTGAAAATGATAAAAATTAGGCTAATATGAAGGCTATTATGGAACCATACATACCTATCTACATTTTTCATCTGAACATTCGGAATTGTGTTGAACTTGTGCTTTTTAAAGTAAACTTCCTATAGAGAAACATGCACAAAATGTGGTATAAAATATAAATTAAAATTAGGAAATGTTATAAAAAGACACAAACGCCACATCACTGAATTCATAGTATCCCAGATTCAGTTTGCCATGGAAAAATATACTAAATTACAAGTAATAGTTCATATAAGAATACAGATTAACCACAGACGTTAACATAACATAAATATAGACGTAATAAGACGTAAATATAACTGTCTCACTTACATGGAAGTAACCATTCATGTTTAAGCCAATGATGCCAAAGTGATAAGAGCGGGAGACATCAGGAATGACACACTCTCTCCCCTTCCTCTGTTCCGGCATCCGCATCCACATGTCCCAATCCCATAGCTAAGGGATAGCAACAGTACGAATGGATGAAAGAGGCTAGACAGGTTTAATATAGGTAACTGATACACTACCATTCAAAAGTTTGGGGTCAGTAAGGTTTGTTTGGAAGCATTTAACTGAACTAAAATGACATTTATAATGTTAGAACGGATTTTGATTTCAAATGCAGGTTTTTTGTTTTTTTGGACAAAAAGTATAGATTCCACAGTAAAACTGTTTTCAACATTGATAATAAGAAATGCTTATTGAGCACAAAATCAGCATAATAGAATGATTTCTGAAGGATCATGTGATACTGAAGCTATCATCACAGGAATAAATAAAATTTTAAAATATATTAAAATAGAAAACAGTTATTTTAAATGTTACTATTATTTCACAATATTACTTTTCTTTCTTTCTATTTTACTATTTACTGTTTTTTTAAACTGCTTGCTTTTTTTTTTTACCTTAAATTTTTTATCTCCTAGTTTGAAAATTAAGGCATTATATGCACTTATTTAAATATCATTTCTGGTACTTACTATATACACTACACACACTCTTGAAATTCAACAGACTGACTCTTCAAAGGTTAGCAATGTTATTCAAATGTAGGGATGGGTACCGAAACCCGGTATTTAATCGGTCCCGGGGCTAAATTATGAAAGACCGTAGTATCGATAAGCAGAAACGTTAACGGTTCTGCTATCGGTACTGAAGAAATTAAGAAAACACACATACATTTATTATTGCTATATATACATTATCTTGCAAATTCTATCTCACCAGAGTCGCCAGCTGTTTCTCAAACATTTGTCTATGATGCATATTTTTGCTATTCTCGCAATTCAGAAGCGAGATCGCGCTCACGCGAAGGAGCTTCAGCACACGCAACATGAAAGCCCTGTTTAATTATGATAGAAGAGAGAACTAAACATTCAAACATCTGCTTACACTTTAGGCCTGTGGCGGTTTTATTAAGCTAATTTTATTTTTTTATTTCGATTTTGGCTTCTAAGGATTATACAAAAGAAGACATGAGGTAAAGCTATTAAAAACTAGCTGCGTTTCGTATTGCGCAACTTCTTTCCCTTCACAGCCGTGCGCATTCGTTCCTCCCTCAAACCCAAACTTAACGTCAGAATCAGCTCAGTCTGTGATTGTTGTAAAATGCCGTCTTTACTGTTGCTAAATTGCGGGACATGTTTGATAATAAAACGTTGAAAGCACAATCCGCACAAGAGATGCTGTTCCTCAGGCTGAAATGTGTACGCGCGGCACGCTCCAAAACGGACAAACAAATTACACTTAGAGCTTCGGGTGCATGTCCAATCGATCAAATACACACAAAAATATGTCAAAATGGCCGGCTTGGAGAGTATTTACTTAAACACAGTTTATGTCTTAAGTGGAGGAGAACAGTTGAGAGAAAATCCGATGTGTGTCAATATATTGTCTTAAAGTGACAGACTGGCGCTTGGGCCATCAAAATGCAAATCTGCTCTTAATCTGAATAACGTTATAGCTTTAATAAGCATTAATCTATCAATACATACACTGAAAACTATGCAGTGTTCATTTACATTTGATTACTTTTAGATTTCTTTTGTAGGCTATTACCTGAACAGTAATGTTTATATATATATATAAAACAAAAAGTACCGATAAGAATACCGTTAAAGTACCGAATCGATAAGCAGTATCGGTAAGAGTAGTAATACCGTTAAAACCTTAACGATACCCATCCCTATTCAAATGAGAGGACAAAATACTAAAATCCATAGTGAGAACAGCACTTCCCAATGGTGAGAGGAGGATTAATCACTTTAAGAAGCTTTCGTGCAAGCAAATGGAGTGGAAAATTGTGCCAAATTAGACACTGCTTTTGAGAGGTTTTGCATGTAAACTGTAAATACATAAACTTCTCCTATTTAGTTATAAATTATAGGCTAAATGCAGGAATTAGCTGCCTCACCTTCTCAGGAGTTGGCCATTTGGGCTCCAGTTCATCCTTGTAAAGGCTTTTTTTAAGCACCCAGCCAAGGCCAGGCATACTTTCCACTCTGTACAACAGAGACGGGTCCTCTGCTGTGTGCTCATAGCCCTGCAAAACAGCACAGCAACAAGGTCAAGTGCACTGCTTGAAGGCCTTTAGAGACTTTTACAGTAATATAAACTGAGGGTACAATAACCATTGTTTAGCAGAAGAAAAATATACCAACAAAAGAGCATTTGGCAGCATTTACCCCCCCAAGACAAAAACAAAAAATAGCATATTTTCAAGAAATAAAAACTGAAAATAAACTTTTTTTTCTCCATCACTCACTTGGTCATTCCAGGCCGAGATACAGTACAGACTGTCATCCTCATGCAACAAATGGATGGTCTGACTGAGAAAGCTAAGAGACAAATGTTGGATGAGAAATAAATCACACATCTAAAAGACTTTTAGAGACAATGAGTCAAATGTTGTTGAGCTCAATAATTCTGCACTCACACGTTTCTAATCTGGCCTGTGACAAATAATATGGGAGTCTGCTACCATCTAGTGGACATGTGTGTAATTCAGTAAAATTAATTACAATAAAATTACTCATTTACACAGCTAATGTTATACACACACTCTATTAATTTTATATGTATTGATATAAACTAATATATCACTATATTATATTGCATTATAACATCCATACCTGAAAAAATCTATGGAAATATCCAGGTCTTCCTCCAAGACAATGGAAAAATCTGCACCCAAAAACTTTTTTTTTTTTTTTTCAAAGTCAAACACTTGCAAACTGTATTACAACATAACTGTATATAAAATGTAAGGCAGGCGATTTCATCATTTACTCACTGGATGCAGACTGAATGTTGCAGTCAAGCTGGCTTTGTAGTGCTGAGACAAAATAAACATCAATGTATTAGTGCCCTCTTATGGTCATTCACAAACAGGCTTTGACCACTGCAAACATCTATCACTGGCCATTCTTTTTCATGTTAATGGTTCATTTTCAGACAAAAGTCACAAACATATCACCTGTGACACTCTAGCATTCTTAATACTGATAGGCGTATGCTGAACTCCTTTAAGACCGAAGAGATCCACCACATCCATGGGTTCCTAACCAGAAAGCTTTTTGTTAATTTTGTAAATGTGTATAAAACCTCTCACAAAAGCTGAGAAGAAAAAAAAATGCATTTAAGAGGAGTGGAAAAAATATGAAAAGGAGACAATACCTCATAGTAGCCATCGACAAAAACAGTGATCATCTGTGGATTGACACCGTGGGAGGAAAGAAGAGAGCGCAGCATTCTAAAGAAACAAACATGGCTTCAGTCAGGTATTCAAGGTATGCTTTTTTTAATATACAGGATTTCTAGGTTTCTCCACTGAAGCCAAATCAAACAACATGGACAAAAAAAAAAACTATGTGAAATATGTGTCTTCACTGTCACTTCTGGTCAATTTAATGTATCCTTGATGAATAAAAGTATTTATTTCCTATGAACAATTCTTGGTTGGCTACAAAATGTATGAAACAAAAATATAAAAACATACGTGCCACAGATTTAATTAATCCATTCAACTGCAGATATATGATGTGGTTTCGTAGTGTGGTAATAAGTTTACTAACCTATAGAGATAGTTTGGTCTATTCCCAGCTATAACTGCTACTGGGACGTTGTAGACATTGTTGTTAGGCAGCTAAACAGGACATGGAAAGGTTTAGTCAAAACAGATTTAACATGAACACTCTTGTTCTACTGTCTAAATGCTTTTAAGAGTCAAGTTACAGTATCTCAGGATGAGGGGTATAACAAGCACTAACAACTGAAAGTCTTACACTTCTGCATAAAAACAATGGTAAAAAAGAAAATTTGTAGAGAAAAACATATATAGTCTGTCCCGGTATCATGCATTTTGATTGTGATGTTCCTGATACCATAAATAAACATATCATGGAACCAAATAATGTATGACAGTAAAATAAGTTTTTAAAAGTTGACTGGCTAATATTTTTAACAGTTTCTTTGTAAAAATCGACACGTTTCAGAAAGGCGGGGCATAGAAGAGAAACAATAATGTACAGTATGTGGAAAATAATGTGTTTTTTTAACCTTAAACCGCATAAACACATTTCATTACACCAAATACACAAAATAATGTTCTTTTTAGCAACATCATATGACCCCTTTAAAGCACGTGTGATGCATTTTTTCAGGATTCTTATGTTCAAAAGAAAAGCATTCATTTGAAATAGATTTTTTTTTCCAACAATGTAACAGCCTTTACTGTCACTTTTAAACAATTTAAAGGGATAGTTGGCCCAAAAATGAAAATTCTGTCATTAATTACTCACCTTCATGATGTTCCAAACCCGTAAGACCTTTATTCATCTTCGGAACACAAATTAAGATATTTTTGATGAAATCCGAGAGCTTTCTGACCCTCCATAGATAGCAACGCAACTACCACACGTGTCGAAGACTGACACAGATGAGAAGAAATTGTTGAATAAAGTTGTCATTTTTGTTTTCTTTGTGCACAAAAAGTATTCTCATAGCTTCATAACATTACGGATGAACCACTGATGTCACGCAGACTATTTTAACAATGTCCTTACTACCTTTCTGGGCCTTGAATGTGGTAGCTACATTGCGGTCTATGGAGGGTCAGGAAGCTCTCGGATTTCATCAAAAATATCTTAATTTTGTGTTCCAAAGATTAACGAAGGTCTTACAGGTTTGAAACGACATGAGGGCGAGTAATTAAATGACAGAATTTTCTTTTTTGGGTGAACTATCCCTTTAATGCATCCTTGCTCGATAAAAGTGTATAAAAAAAAGTATAAAAATAAAATCTCACCGACTACACATTTATTAATGGTAGTATATGAAAGGTTTTTTAGTCACAGAGTGTGTGTCTTACTGGGTCAGGATTAAACTCTATGGGTGCTGGATCCTTGCAACTACAAATGCTTCCATATCCTTCCACTTTACTGCAGAAGAGTTTTCTCCGGCGGTTCGGCTCAGTGTCTGCCCAATGGCACTCTGCCTCTGAAATGAGTCACAACGTCAACAGACAGCTTCAATACGATCCATAACATAACTACAACAAATGAACTCTACACTCAAAATAATAAAGGCAGACATACCTTCAGAAGCTGTCAGCTGGACCTCAGTCTTCAGCAGCACAGGATCGCCCCATGTGGACAGAGCAGGAGACTTGGAGTGCTTCTCCCCATACACTTGACCTGAGAAAATAAATAGTACATTTATATCACATCCCAGTGGGAAAAGAGGTGTTTTCTATTTTAATATATTATAAAATGTAATTTATTACAGTATATTAGAATGATTTCTGAAGGATCATGTGACATTGAGGACTAGAATAATGGCTACTGAAAATTCAGTGTTGCCATCACAGAAATACATAAAAAAAAATACATTTTAAAATATATTTAAAAAATAAAACCGTTATCTTAAATTGTTAGATTATCTTAGACTATCTAAATTTCACAATATTATTGTTTTTACTCCAAACTTTTGTTTTTTTAAACTTTTGTTGTTCAAAAGATTTATTCCAAACTTTTGAACAATGGTATAATACATTATTAAAAAGTTAAAAGGCATTATCCTTACCTCCCTTCTTTACAACCAGAGTCCACATATCCCTCCAGCCTAAGGGGACAGCTGCCTGACTCCCCAAACCTTTCAGAAGATTCTTTGCTGCATCCTTCAAGTGGAAAGTCCCCTCATCCTAAAGAGGCCAATAAGAAGTGCACTTAAACACAAAGAAAACACAAATCTGAAACCATGAAAGTGGATGGGAGAGGCCTTTCTTTAACCTTAATAGTGAAGATGAGGATTCTGCCACGCGTGACCATGTTGAGAAAGAGGATCATGGCTTCATCCTCATGGGGAGAATAAGTATCGAACACTCTTTTGGCCATGACGTGACCCTGAAAGAAGACGATACAGAAAAATGCTGTCATACAAATTTATAAATAATCTTGACAACTTAAAAAAGATAGTAATGATAATAGAAAATACAGTTTGTCATGAGAAGTGAATGCGTGTTCTTACAGTTGCCTGATTTAGAACTATAACATGTATGCCTCGGCCCTGCTCCCTCATCTCATCTTCCAGAACCTGCAAAAATACATCAAATATTGTTGACAGTGTTATCTGGTAATGGTGTGGCAAATTTGTCTTGTCATATAAAACAGGGCTTTAATCACTTACAGTGGTGCCATCCACTGCTACATAAACCTTAGATCGACTAGAGTACACCTCGATATCTAAAACCTTCCTCCCACTCACTGGTCTGCGCGGGGTTTCCATGTTAGGCAGGGCATCATCTGAGACAATGTTCAATAATAACAAAAATAAATTAGTATTCAAAACTGAGTGTGTAAACATTAAAAAAGCACAATGATTTTAGTGTATTTACAATTCCATTCATAATAATAATAATAATATTTTAAATCTCTAACACGTCAAGGCATCATAAAAAAATGTCCACAAAAGCAATTAATCGACATTACCATACTCTTGAGCTGCATCATCCTCACTGGCAACTCTCCTTGTGTCAAGAATGAGTTTGATATTTACAATCACTGTGATCAGTAGAAACAGGACAGCACTGGCCTGCACACACACACACACACACATTATTATTTAAATATAGACAGTTATACATACTACAACTTAACCCAACATTTCTAGCAGCATTATAACTTGTGTGCAAGTTGAACTGAAAAATTAACAAATTTGATACATTCTGATGATTTGAGATGCTCCACTGAACATCTGGTGCTTCACCAGAAGCAAGAACATCTGACCTTTTGTGCAAGAATCACATGGTCAGTGTCACAAATTTGCTTTGATTAGTGACCTAGGCTAGAAATATTTCTTTCTTTTTAATTCGCAAAATTTCTTTCAATTTTTTTTAAAATCAAGTGCTGCTCAGCTAACCATAATATGACTACAACATAAACTGATAACCAAACTTTCGTTGTGACAAAGTAACTAGTGACTACTTGAAAAGTGAAATGCCTGTATTCATTTTCACAATCTAACATTTAAGAAGTTGTCAGATATAGTTGTATTATAGTAGTAATAAATGAATACATGCCCTATTTTGCAAAAAAAAATTAATAAATAAAAATTCAATGATGAATGCAAAATTAATTCTGTTTATTTTGGAAAACACAATAAATAAATAAATAAAATCAAGTGCTGCTCAGCTAACCATAATATGACTACAACATAAACTGATAACCAAACTTTCGTTGTGACAAAGTAACTAGTGACTACTTGAAAAGTGAAATGCCTGTATTCATTTTCACAATCTAACATTTAAGAAGTTGTCAGATATAGTTGTATTATAGTAGTAATAAATGAATACATGCCCTATTTTGCAAAAAAAATGAATAAATAAAAATTCAATGATGAATGCAAAATTAATTCTGTTTATTTTGGAAAACACAATAAATAAATAAATAAAGTATGTATGCATGTACACTAAAAGATACAGCAAATACAAGTAAACTTTAGGTTGTATAGTCAGGACAGAAAACTAAAACCCCCATTATTAGTGTTCAAAGATAATCTTATTAAGCGACATGTGCTGACCTGGCAGATTCGTCGCACTGCTCTTTTGTTGGTGAGTCTGTATTTCCAGGTGAGGTAGAGGCTGCGCTGCTGGCGGGGGATGAAGGGTTTGGCTCTCGGGTTGGGTGTCCAGGTGTCCATATCTGCAGTCCTGCCCGCTGCTCCTGATCACAACATCTGCCTGCATCCGACAACGCCTGCAATCACGTCTTCTTCATCTACACATCACAGCAGTAACAAAAGACGGACATAACACATTTCAAATCTTCTTGCAACGTTAAAATGCAATGCAGGTGGCACAACTTTAACATAGGTTACTGCAAATGCGTTATGAACAATTACTAAAACAACGCTAAACTGCATTTTAACTGTAATAACATTTTATGCATGTGCACGAGCTAATGATATTAATAACTCATTATTAATACTGACTACTGCGAACATATGGTAGCGGGTAACGTTAGCTATCTGAGCACAACAGCTGAAATTCCTTCTAAAGGCAATTTCTTTTGACACTAACATTTCTGTTGACTGTGCACAGAATAAATGCTAGTGACTGTTTACCTCAGCAGCATTTTATGTTGCACGAAAACGACGTCCCGCCTCGCCAGAAAATATAACTGTAATTTAGTTTAGGTCGGGTCTAGTAACGTTTGGCCATATGCAGGTAATGAGCATTGTGAAGCCAGATTGCAGGATAACGCATTTGTTTTTCAAAATAAAAGCCCCTTATTTTTTTTATGGGCAAATAGTGAATGAAATAGTTTTCATGCCAAAAGTTAGCTACTTAACAAAAAACTTTAAAATAATAATAATAATAATAAGCAAAGTGTTAAACATTAAAATTAATATTAATAAAATATTTAAAATATTTCTGAATTTCATATTATGAAATTATGAGCATTAGCTCAAAGCAGTGTCATTTGGCTAAAAAAAGCCATTTAAAGAACATATCCACCATACAACTACATGAAGGCCTGCAGGCCTACCAAACTTTTAGATGTAAACATGAAACACAAGGCACTTTTGAAAACCATTTAACTTTAAGATTAGTGAATTATTTAATAGCTTGTAAAATGTCAAATGACAAAACTCAGAACAAAATTTGCTAAGCAAGAAACAAATGATCTAATATTTTTTCAAAACACACAGGCTAGAGGGGGTTGATTTGCTCATATAGATTTGCGGTGTATAATTAAATCATTTGACTTTATGTAACAAAAGTGGCAATAGGCTGTAAGAGTTTGTCACAAATATCTAAGGTCAGCAGGACATTTTCTTTTCTTTCAACTCTTTAGGTAGGCTATTAAACAGATTAGGATTAAACAGATAAGGATGCATTTCTTTTTCCATTACTATAGACTTCTTTCATTGGTAACTTGTGCAAAGAAGAAACCCCCAATTCTCAGCTTACAAACGGTGTGTGAACAAATTTATCAGATCATCTCTAGCAAGCGGAAAAGGCGGAGTAAAGAAAGGCCTTTAATTGTTCTTTTGGATATTTCACTGTTATTATATGTCTAGCACGCTTATTCTCTAGAAAAAGACCCAGCGCTAAAGGAAAACATGGGACTTCTGTCAGCTTCTGGTTACTTAGGTGAGTTTTTTATGTAAAACGTATTAACATAAATCATTTGACTGTTTAAGAATCAGCTCTAAAACACAATCCACTTGTCTATTTTATCAATGTTTATCCTATGTTTAGCCTGGTTTAATTGATAAACTCCACAATGTACTCAGAGAGAAAAAAAGATTTAGGATTTTAACGTTGTTGCATTATATCAATTTTCAGTACTGTTTTCCTCCCTGTTCACACATGGAGCATTTCAAGATATGGATCGGTATGAATCAGTCAAAGATTTTCACTCAGAAGCTGCTCTAGAGGTCCAGCCTGACAGCAGACAACACTTCAGGGGGGAAAATTTCACCCTACGCTGCTCAGTTAAAGGTATTAATCCAACAGGCTGGATACTGAGGAGGCTTCAAGGAGCTAAAACGAGATCTGGATGTTTACAGTTAAATGGCACAGAATCTACAGACAGACCTGAAGAATGTCATTTCATTGACATTGACTATAAGAACAGTGGATTGTACTGGTGTGAGAGTCCTGCTGAAAACAAGACAAGCAACACCATCAATATCACTGTGAGCTGTAAGAACATCATTGTCAATCATGTAGATCCAAATCACACTGATTTAAAGATAATAGTTTTCATTATTAACATGTGACTAACTCCACAGATGACTCAAAAGATGAAAACACATTTACAGGTATGAGATACAGATATAATATCTGTTATTGAATTTGGCATTCTATGTTATAACCGTCCTTAATATGAACTTTGTTATCCAGGATCTTTGGTCTGGGTGTCAGGGCTTTGTGTCATCTTGATTCTTCTGGTGCTTCTTCCTGTGCTCTGGCTGTTGTTTCCAGGTTTCAGGTATAGTATACAATTCATAACTATTTTACGTTTTGGCAAATTGGTGGCAAATTTGTATGATTGTACATTTGCGTACAATCTGATTACGCCCCACTGAGGGTTAGGTTGGGGGGTGAATCTTCATGCTAATTATTTATTTATTTTTTCCTAAAAATCATATGTTTTTGTACCATTCAAATTGTACAAATTCATAAAAAAAATCACCAACGCATAAAACTATTACGTTTTTCCCATAAGATTGCGTTGCGTATACAGGTATATTCTATATACACACTTAATAGGTCACCCAAAATCACACTCATGTCATTTTGAACCTTGAGGGTTAGTAAACAATGACAAGTTGAGATTTTTTTAATTAGCAGTTTCTACTAATCAGTTTGTGATATTAATTTCATTGACTACTTCTGATTTACATTGCTCTCTGTATCAAATATCTGCAATGTTTACTCATGCTTTTCAGGGAGAAATTGCATGCGTGTCCAAATAGGGCATTCAAGAGGGAAAGAGTCCAACAGGAAATGCCTAAAACCAAGCAGGATGTGACTGAAATCCAGTGGGATCTTCCCTGGATGGAGATGGACAATTTGTTGGACAAGCATCAAACTCCTGGCAGCTGAACTGTCAACATTTAAAATGTGGATGTTATCAGATACACATAGTATTTCTGAAGACAGAAAACAGACACTGTGCTTTATAAAGTGAGTCACGGATAACATGACAGATGAATAAAGAGGCCCATCTTGATATTTACAGCATATGGAAGTGTTTTCACACTGAATAATATGTTACTAACTTTATATAAGGTCAAAGGTTTTTAAGGAATAATTATATCACCTGTTTTTAATTACAAAATGACATTGATTTGTTATTTCTGTGTGACTCATTCACATACAGTAAAAACTTGTGTGAACTGCTAAGGATGCAAGGCAAAGCAAGCTGGAATTATATATTATATATTATAATTCCACTTTTTGTGGAATTATGGTTACTGTACAGTGCAATGTTGACATATAATATATTTATTTCTTTAAAAAAATGATAAATAAATAAATAGCAGTGATGAATCATGTACATTCAAAACTGACTGTTAACATTGTGACATTTAATAAACTGTTTAATGTCATGTCAGTGTTACCATCATAAAAAGTGCCCTTAGGTTTTTTGATTGTATGCTTTAAATACTGATTATCCTAGGTATAATATGATTTATTATTATATTTAACATTAAAATGATACACTTTGAAAGCAATACACTTTCATAAATGTGTAAGCATGCTTTTTAAAATTTAACTATCATGTGAAATCAATGCATTTTAAAATGTTCCGATTTCCAGGATATTTTAGTGTACTTTATTTTTAAATGTGTTATTAAAATGATAAATAAATGAATGCATTTTAAAAATATTCTTCAGTCTGATTTCAATTTAAAGTCAGATTTATGTCTGTTTTATATACTGCTTGAACTTAACTTACATACACAAATTATACAGTTTACTTTTAAATTATATTTTGTTAAACTTAAAACAACAAAAAATGACACCGACTCATACTGCTCCAAAAATAGTCCATACAACTCATGCACTATATTCCAAGTTATTTAAAGCTTGCGTTTAAGTCAAAATATTAAGATGCATCACATCTCAATAAATCACAAGGGGAACCAGTGATGCTTGCTATTAATGTCATGAAATCTGACACAGAGCATTGTGAGGCGCCATGTTTGAATTTAATAATTCCAATATGGCATAGTACATTATGTAGTTTAGTATCCAAATTGAGATTCACCCAGCATGGGCAGCTATTTAGAATAATTCATTCCCTCTTCCCCCTCCTCTAACCTTCTGTCTTCTCACTCAGACATGCCTTCTGCTTTTCTGGAGATCTGGCTTAACAGCAGACAACACTTCAGGGGTAAGCAGCTTTCCCTTCGCTGCTCAGTAAATGATGCTAACTCAACAGGCTAGATTCTGAGTTAGGAGGAGTTAACAATACTATATTTATAAATTAGCATCAACCTAAATTTATAAATGCTGTGAAACATGTTATGATACCTAATGCATTAAAGGTATTAGTTTCCACCCAAAAATAGAAAATTCTGTCATCATCTGCTCCTCCTCATGTCATTCCAAAACTGTCATTTCTTGTGTGGAACACAAAAGAAGATATTTAAAAGAATATCGGTTCCCATTAAATATGGACAAAAAATACTATGAAAGTCAATGGGACCATAAACTGTTTGATTACCAACAGTTTGGAATGACATGAGGGCGGTAAAAGATGCCAAAAATGAAATTTTTGGGTGAACTATTCTTTTAAATAATGTTAATGAATTTAAACTTTTTGTAAAATGGTAACAGCATATCAATATTTTATATATTTTTTTTTTTTTACAAAATATACACCATGGTACTTAGAATGGAATCTTTATACACTGTGCTAAATAAAAGATGATTCTGTGTTTTTATTTATTAAATTTATTTTTTACAATATGACATGTCATCAATGAAGTGGGATCTCAGGTATGTTTTACACATTGTCACCATCACAGACACTGTTCCCTTTCGATACTACACTCGTACTGCGTCTTGCTAGACGCATATGGGAAAAAGCCTTTTTTCTCTGGAACTGAAGCCTTTTTTTCATTCACGCAGTGAAACTGCATGGCCATTGGTTTGTGCAGTGTATTAAAAACGAACCAATGGCTAGGCAGCAGAGCTGCACGAGCCTACGGCGACGAAGCCCGCCAAGCCTGCCAAAGCCCGCTAGACTGGGCGGGGCATCTGGCTATATAAGCGGGCGTTCGCCACAGGATTCTCAGATTTCTTCTCCTTCAGAGACGATTCTACGCTCATCGCTGATCCTGAAAGCCTGCTCGCCATTGACACGCCTCGCAGCTGGATTGAGCGGCTGACCGGCTCTCTTTGCGCCTCAGCATCGCAGCAGTTCTGGTCCTGTTCCCCTGCCGCCATCCAGTGATTCTGAAAGAGCTTATTTCTAGCAGGTAAGCCCTAAACGAGTTAATTCTAGCGACGTTGTTGCAAATGCCGCGCTGCGAGTGTGGCTCGTGCAGGGAATCTTGCACGATGCAGAAGGGCAGTGAGTGCCGTCACGTGTCTGGGCAGCCCCCACGCAGAGACTGCTCGCTCACTGAGACGGAATGCTCTCATTGAAAGCATGAGTCTCGCCCTTCTCCACTCATGGACTGCCCCGCTCTCCCGTTTCTCCTCTCTCAGCAATCCTCGGAGAGAGAAACGGC